AATAATGATAACAACTTCATTTATATAGCAAGTATATACAAAGCTCTATATTGCTTTACAGTCATGAAAGTAAAACTAAATTATAATAATTTAAACTTTATTATCTGATTGGCTACGCTACTCAACTCACTATCTATTTTGTTGAAGATAGTGAGTGGGCTAGCATTTTTGTACGGTTAACAAAATGACTGTGGCTTCTTTGCATTTTAGAAGTGTCTGTGAAGAGGATTTCAATAAAATTTTGAATGACTAGTAAATTTATACTAGATCTATACTATTACACGATAGAAATCAAGAGCGAATAATCTTATTGTTAAATACATGTACTAAGAGTACAGTTTTTAGCCCACCCTTTCTTACTGGGTGTTTTCTGATGCAGCAATACAGTTCTGTTATTCCATTGAGTAAGTTTGACATAAATTAAAATAAAAAACACACACAATGGTCTCAGTTGTGCTTTTAATTTTAATTACCAAAAGGTGCATGTACAATGCCATTATTACATGACACAAAACATCTTAGAAGACCAAAGTTTGATAACTTGTAAAAGGCCTGTTCAAGGCTCAGAGATTCTGGAAAAGAAATAAAATTGGGCCACCAGGGGGAGAGAGAGAAAGGGTGGACGTTATGACAAGTACATTTCCCTTTTTGTTTACTTTTTCCACTATTATTTTGATCAACTTATCTGAGAACCTGGAATAAGCTATTGTCATTGCCAACAGCCAACACCTTAGATGTCTCCTTAGACTACAAGCCTTAATTCTATACACATATAGTCTGCAAATGGACATATGTAATATCATATATTTGAACTGCGGAGAAAGATATGAAGACATCAAGGATCATCACAGTTATATACACACCTTAAGCAGCTGTGAAGTTAAAGCCTGAGGGAAAAAATTCAGATTTGGATGGATTTGCACCCCACTGAAGCCTGAATTTTTCCCAAGCTTTAATTTCACATTTCACAGCTGCTTAAGTTCTGTATATAATTGCAATGATCATTGATGCCTTCACATAGATAGTCCGTTCTTCAGAGCAATCTTTACTCACAAACCCCCAAAGTTTCAAAAATGATTTACACCACCTTTAGAAAAAAACAATTGCCAATGTTGGTGTAGAAGTTGGCACACAATTTTAGAACGTAAAAACTAGTAAACAGGGGTTTAATCATCATCTTTACACAACAAAAAATGGTGAAGCCAGATAGCAATAGCATGCATGTGGTTGTGTGGAGGTATACAATTATACAAATTACAGGGGCTGCTGTCAGTTCTTAGTGTTTTCTTCTCTTGCTATCAGAGTGATCGCCTTTCCTGAAATATGATCAAGGAAAAACAGTCGTAATTATTACACTGATTGAATAAGTTAGTTCTTATTCAAATTACTTAATATAGCTTGTTGTGCGCCTTAAGTAAATACAGACAAGAAGTAATCTTATGAGTGGCCCATTATAATTTAACATAATATTTATTATGTTTATTTATTTTTGAGGAAAAGTTGAGGATCAAGCATGACAGCTGATTATGCCAGCTCTTATCTTCGATTTGAAATGAGTAGGAACACTGCTACTCCACCCTGGATGGAATACTAGTCCAGCGTAGACTTGATCCCAGCATTTAATTTTCCAGTGTCCATTTATATATCTGAATTTAGTATCACCCAACTAGTGGACTAATGCAAATCCTGCATTTTGATTGGCTAC